GGTCGATAAACTTTTTTCTAGGGCATCCCTTCCCGACTCTGCCGTTCACATCTGCCATATAAATTTGTTTTGTCACTCTTTCCTCATTCATTCTTTCTACATGACCAAACCACCGAAGGTCCTTTCTTATCCTGGTCACAACATCATCTTGCATACCACATTTATTTCTTATCATGCAATTTCTCATCCTGTCATTCAGATTCAACCCTAGCATACTCCTTAAAGACCGCATTTCTACAGCATTTATTCTACTTTCGTGCTTCTTCTGCCACACAGCTTTCACTACCATACATTAAAGTAGGGACTAACACAGCATTATGAATTACCATACGTGCCTTTTTTGATACATTCTGGTTCTTCACAATAGAGTGTGGTGCCCCATTCACTCTATTCCCTGCATTTACTCGTCGTTCTATATCCTTATATCTACCATCCCTGCTAAATACACATCCCAAATACACAAACTCATCCACTTGCTCAATTAACTCTCCTTCTATTCTTATTTCACATACCGTTTTGCTTTCCTCTCTTTCAAAAACCATCACTTTCGTCTTACTTGCGTTCACTTTCATTCCCCTTTCTTTTAATGCCCAGTTCATTAATGTAACCATCATTTGCAACTCGGCCGCCGACGACGCAAATATGACTTGATCATCGGCATACAAAAGGCATTTGACGGTTAACTTGCCCATTCTTAACCCACATTCTTCATCTTTCTGTGGTGTGTGTAAACGGTTTGCAAACATCTGTCCATAAATAGGTTGAACAGCCAAGGGGAAGCCACACAGCCCTGTCTGACACCCTTTGGGGTGCCAAACCAGTCCGAGTAGACCCCATTGATCCTGACACAAGCACTAGAATCCCTATAGAGGCCTCAATGCCTGTATCAAACCAGCGCTCAACCCATATGAGTTCAGTGTTTGCCATAACACATTCCCGTCCACTCTGTCATAAGCCTTTTCTAAGTTCATGAACGCACAAAAAACTTTCTGGTTTTTAGCCAAAAACTTCTCCGCAATCATGCGCATGGAAAAGACTTGATCTGTACACCCCATTCCCTTTCTAAAACCCGCTTGCACATCCCAAATTTTTCCGTCAGTTTCTTTCATAACTCTTTCAATTAACACCTTAGCATACAGTTTACCCACAATACTAAGCAAGCTTATATATTGGTACTATAACTGCTTTACACCAGTCATCCGGTATATACTGGTTTACTAGGCTGTTATCCCAAATAAATGGAAAGCAGCATCATGAGTGCCACCTCCATATTTTGCATTTACATTTAAAATGCGGCTTTCACTATCACAAATATACAAATAATATTTTTTGTTAGTTTTCAAATAATTACATAATATATGTATGTACTTAATTAAATAGTTCAAAATTCATCACCATATGCATTATCATTACTACCTATCAAAGTCATAGTTATAGCATACCTAGCTGCCCGTGTAGTGGCGGTTGAGAATATCCACTACCCCATATCTTCCCGTGGGTGTCGTAAGAGGCGACAGAGGGACACAGAAAGGAGATGGGCAGCAGCATCTTCCTAATAACAACAATAACATAATAAAAAACTGCGGTTGCCAACCCGCTCGCCAAGCGTGGCAACTATGGCAAATATCCCCCTATGAGCAACGACACAACTAAACGGCCCCCAGTCCCCGGCAGCCCCGCTATTCCTGACTACGGTGGCGACCATGGTAACGGCGGGGCAGGGGGTGCTAAGAATCTCCGGTGGAGATTCGGTTGCCACCTACGACGACTCGACCTGGCAACGTATAACGCACGCACTCTGAGGACTGACGAGAAGATACTGGAGCTGGAAGAAGAGGTACACAAGTTGCGCTGGCATATTATTGGATTAACTGAGGTCCGAAGAGAGGGGGAGGACACGGTAATCCTCGAGTCCGGCAACTTGTTCTATCACCGGGAGGGCGACCATCTGTCCCAAGGAGGTGTCGGATTTATCGTCCACAAGTCTCTCGTCAACAATGTTGTAAAGATTGGGAGTGTGTCGACGAGGGTCGCGTACCTGATACTCAGAATCACCAAACGGTATTCGCTGAAGGTCATACAGGTCTACGCACCAACCTCGGCACATCCCGATAAGGAGGTGGAGGAAATGTATGAGGATATTTCTAGAGCTATGCATTCCTCCAAAACCCACTACACGGTGTTGATGGGAGACTTCAACGCAAAACTAGGCACAAGAGAAGGCGGTGAGCTGAAGTTAGGGAAATTTGGAGTAGGGCAACGGAACAGTATTCCTTAAGTCACCCAGGCGCAAATGGTAATGCCAAATTAGTAGCTGAGATGTTTGTTTGGCCGAATGTTAGGAAGAATTGTCGTGAATGGGCTAACACTTGTTTATAATGCCAACGATCTAAGGTAAGTCGACATGTTACAACCCCACTAGGCACATTTAAATTATCTCTTGCACGTTTTAAACAGATCCACATAGATTTATTAGGATCATTACCACCATCGAAGGGCTACCGCTATTGTTTAACGTGTGTTGGTCGTTTTAAACGTTGGCACGAAATCGTTCCAATCACCAACATCACAGCAGAAACAGTAGCTAAGGCATTGCTGTCATGTTGGATGTCACGTTTCGGTTGTTCAACAGAAATAGTTACAGATCGCGGACGTCAGTTTGAATCTGCGCTACTCGTATTTCAACACCTTGCAGAATAGCGGGATTTTAACGGGACGCACGACTGTTTACCACCCCGCATATAACGGCCTAGTGGAGCGCTATCATAGGCAACTGAAGGCATCAATAATGTGCTACGCACGAGACAAGTGGACTGAGTCGTTGCCTTGGATATTGCTGGGCATACGCAGTTCCTTTAAGGAAGACTTACAGGCGTCTGAATTTCTCTGCGTAGACTTAAAAATAAGGATATCCGCAGTAAGAACCAGAGTAACCGACATGGCGCAATGGCTTAGTAAGCTGAAGTGGCAATGGGCCGGCCATATAGCTGAAAGAACCGACAACCGATGTTGAAGAAAGGTTCTCGAGTGACAGCCTAGTACTGGTAGACAAAAAGACAGAGTGACGACCTGGTACGACGGCAGAAAGTCGATGGATGCAGGTGTCTCGGGACCGAGCTTTGTGTTATTCTTCGGGGGAGGTCTATGTTCAACAGTGGAGTTATGAAGGGCGATAATGACGATGATAATGTAAAGGTCATAAGTAACTAAACGGCAATAAAACACGTAATAATTCATTTTCATTTTATTTAAATTACCAGCCACCAAGTTGTGTAAAAATAATAAAATAGGAATAAATTACAAAAAATATGAGAATCAAAAATACTGATCGTGTTAAAGATCATGTAAAATGTTCGTAAAGTTGGTGCTTCAGTAAAAGATTCTTAGTTATAAAATCAATACCATAATTTAAATAGTTTTAAAATTATCATTAAAGTTCAATTGATAACACCACACTTACAATACAATGATATACGGTACACATTATTGCCAATTTTAACATTTGTACACATTACAAAGTAGATCTGTATGTACTTAATGATCTTTGTCTTTTATAAAACTCGTACGACTCTTCAATAAGAAGATAAATGAAGGCTGCAAAATATATCGATTTGTTTGCATAAATACAATTTTCTATTAGTAATAAAAATATGTCGGTACGGAAGCTATTCATCCGCATTCATATCGAGACCGATATTTGAGATATTTATTATATAAAAATAAATTATTTCTCTTTGTGTAGGTAAACTATTTAAGGCGGCTTTATCTTGTCAACTTTAACAATTGTATTTCCATTTTCATAATCACAAACGTCATCTAATCATTTAAGTACGTTACGAAGTATAATTTTTATAATTAAATCGTCGCCAGACAAATATCTTAATCCTCTAACAATCAATCACATTTAAATTAGTTTATCTTAAAATATAGAGATTTTTTTAAAATAGTGGAATTCTCTTTAGACATACTGATATAGATAGGAGCGCCATTTTACGCTCCCTTTTGAATGCATTACCAACCTAACTGCAACATCCAAGTTTCACTCATCTAAGCAAAAATTAAAAGAAGCATACATTAAATTCCAAGGTACCGAATTCATTCGACGTATCTGTAGTGTCCCTCGCTCACATGATAGTACATATCGTGTAGATCGTACGGACCCATAACTCTGTAAATTAAATCATCCAATATAACTTTTATAAAATGACATCAATCATTGTGTCTTTAATTAAAAAGACTGTATTCAGTAGTCATTTTTCGCCGGTAGTTTTTTTTATTTATTTAATAAAGACACATAAACAGTAATATAAAATATTAGCAAAAAAAAAAAAAAAACAAGTTCAGAAAAGAAAAAATGTTCAGTAGACCCACAATGAGGAAGGATCATTTGCACAGGAATAAACATCATTATCGTAGCCCACCACAAATTTTCGCTTCAACATTTTCTATGAATCGTATACACTGTTTATCTGGCTACTTGAAAATATTTAACAGAAAATTTTATTAAAATAACAAATGAATTGACGTTAATCCACAATTATCACTACAAACATCTTTGTGGCATCCCTTGGGGGAGGATAACGTTCAGCAGTGGACTTGTGAAGGGCTGTAATGATGATGATGATAATAAAGAATCCACAAAAAAGAAATACTTTACAAAATATAAAACAATTTAAACTTATAAATATGAATTATTTCTACGTTTATTTAAAATTACATATATACAAGATGGTTGGTCTGCCATCTACCAGGGACCATAACCCCCCTGTTAAGGACTGACAAAAATTAAGATAAATTTAAAAAATCAATCAAACGATTTATAATGATTTCTTATATTTACGCGAACACTACACATTGATTTAAACTAATTTTACTTTACTTTACTTTATTTTACTTTTATAAAATTAAAATAAACGCGATAAAATCCGTAAAAGTAGTTTATATCAAATTATTTATGGTTAAACTCACCCATCGCTATAGGGCCCATACATGAACAGAGGCTATGAGGTCTGAACGGGTTCTTCGTGGACGTTTCTCGCGTTACTCGATGTATAGAACAAGACGCAGGGCGATTTCCACCACGCGCTAAACTGTACCACTTCGTCGGAGCTCACGGGTACAACGCTAGAAAAAATTGAGGAAAATCTACAATTCTACGAGATAACATTGCATGTTGGTCAAAAAGTCAAATCTTCTACAACTTAATCCTTTATTCGTTATGCTTATTTTTGCATATTTTACCTGCAATGTAAGAAGTATTCCCTATCAGTCAACTCATGGAGTGGTGGAAATATGACGCAGGTGCAGTAATATAGAATAAAAAATGACAATTAACATTTTACTAAATAAATTATATAAACTTACAAATATGTGAATGCATACATATATAAATATAAATAACTATGAAAATATATGTCTGTTAACAATATAAAATGTCATAGATGATCATCGTTGTCTTCAATAGATGATTACGCACCGACTTTTTAAAAGAAAACTTATTAGGAGCTTTTCTGATGATATCGTGCAAGGATTTCAAAATTTTTTCTTGTGTATAGAGATTTATTTTATTTGAAAATGCCTTAAAACATGATAATATTATGCACTGATTTCTTACACCGATATACAGAAAATACTATTATCACCATCATTACTACCTATCAAAAGTGTACTGCGGAACATAAAGCTCTCCCATAAATTACTTCATAGGGAGATATATTTGCCATAGTTGTAATACTTGGCAGACGGACTGGTAACCGCAGTTTTTTACTTTTTAATTGTTATTAGGAAAGCACTGCTACACCCATCTCCTATTTCATTTCCTTACGACTTCACTACACGGCATGAATACCGTTGCAAGCCATAATTGATGCCCCTAGCGCCATCTAGTATCGGGGAGCAGAGCGAGGAAGGCTTTCTAGAAAATGTCATGCCTGAACTTTCCACCAACAGCGCCATCGAGTATTGACTAGAAGAATTATGCTTTCTAGAAAAGTCCACACTCGAATTTTCTACACCTAGTGGTTCGGGACCGGTATTTGCTGGAACATTCTAGATGTTTCGGTGGAAAAAACCTATTTAAAGCCGTTAAAGTCCGCGACCGGGGCAGTATTGAATTGGCGACACAAGCAAAAACTTCGGAGGGAAATAAAGTGAATTAAAGTGTTAAGTGTGATTAATTACTAGTGTGTTTTAAGTTTTAATTGCTGTTCAAGTAGTGTCAATTTTGGTAATTCAATCGGCAGTTTTTATTGTCACGAACCCTAAGCTCGGAACAATACTATCAACCATTAAAATAGTTTACTAAAATATAATTACCTCAAATCGTTGAAGAGATACCACCGCGGTTCGCTGTCTGTAGAGACTTGAATGTACGCGACCAAGTTCTTTGGATTGTCCTCCACGCACACAACAGCCGCGGTTAAACAGTACTCCTCTTCTGACTGAGTGTTAATTTGTTTCTTTTTGTGTTTGTTAGCTTCAACCCGGGTCAATTCTAAGCTTAGGTCGCTCTAGAAATAAAAATGACTGCGTTATTAGGCAATCAAAGTCCAGCATTGCATAAGTATAAGTTGGTTCAAAGGATTACGATCAGTCGTATCATAAAGATATGCTTTTCCCAAGTTATGCTACGTAGCACGGTCAGCACATACCGGTCTTGCGAACTTCGCGAAATTTATCACTTTCTGAAAATTTGATGGCAAATCAAACCACATGTTATAATTTCATTAAAAAAGTAAAAAAGGTATAAGATAAATGTAGTTAATTTTTAAATTACGTCTATAATATACATCGATCATACGTCATACGATTATAGGCTTCGAAAGATCTAGTTTTGAAGACTTATATATCTGCTGTTTTCGAAGCAAAAGGCTTGTCAAGCTGATTTTCTATAATTGCTAAAGCTTTAAAAAACTATAAAAATAGGTGACGTCAAGTTACGTGAACAGTTACGTTAAACTTAACGTTGAAAGCCCTATGATATCCTACGTTATGTCATTCCCAATCATATTTTAAAGAAAACTTCTTTAGACTCGTCATTTAAAAAAGTGCCAGTAAAACATATACATCTATAGGATGTAGTCTGCGAGAGAAAGAGATAGAATACAGTATAGTAAGTTACAATAGTCTAAAGGCAGGGTGCGGAACGCGAATTTGTTTGGTTGTTTGGAATTGTGGGTTCGAATTACAGACAAGACTACTGTCGTGAACCACTCCTTATATAAGCATTTTCAGCTGACCTGTAGTGGTTAAAGGGAATATTAGTAACGTTAATAGGATTGCTAGTATTTAAAAAATACACTGTTTCCTTATTACCTCGGTCTCCTCTTTGTACGGTGCTTTAAAGATGGTTACTATAAATTTTAACTGATAAAATAAACAATATAAATAATTAACAAATATATCAAATAAAAAAATAAATAAAATTTACTCTAGTGAATGTATCTTAATCCAATTAATTCAGTAGCAATTCATTTAATAGATTCAGGCCATCTAGCGTCTACTTTACGTACCACCTTGAGAGTCAATCAATTTTTGTTCGACAAAATGACTTTAATTATAGAATGAAGTAGATAACGATATTACAATGCAATTTTACTCCAAAGAAAATATTAATTTACAACACAAAAATGTAGGCTCTACATGTCCAAAATAAGAATTGTAACAATTATTTGCTATAAAATTAAACTTTTATCTTATATTTTACGCGGCACTCGTGGTTGGTAATTATCTTAAATAAATAATTTGCAATGAAATATTTTCATTTTATATTTCATTTCATTTGAAGGTTTCACTTCTTCCGCGTGTGAACTGTATACGTTTTTTATAGTTTTCTATAAGGGCTAATAAAGACTATGGCCTTCAAAACGTACATGAAATTTGGATTGAAGTTCGTAAAAAGATGTGTAATATCATAACATTACCTTATCGTTGATAACGACGTCCCCATCAGACTGCAGCCGTATGAGTAACTGAAGCGGCAGAACGCAGTTTGATTCCTGCGATGGACTCTTCAATGATCCAGATTGTGATGATACAGGTCTGTTAAATCATCAAGAGCTATGGTATATTATTATAATATCATCAATATCACGGTTAACGTGGTAGAGCCACGCTCTAGCTGTTTATGGTTGCATCACAAATAGGTCAGCTCGAATATCGGCATAAAATAGCAGCTTAATGCAGCTGTGCAGTTTAGTGGGTGCAGAGAACCGGAGACCTTATTACTGAAAAAGAGGCATTCTGTCTTCGCACCTGCGTTTTTATTTTTAATCTAGAATAGATGAAGATGTCTGTAGGCCACAACCATCAGGATCATCACTTACCTACCTTAAGGTGATAGATACCTCGAAAATTTGGTGGTTTTTATATTTCACATATTTTTTTAAAGTTTTATAGATTACAAAATAAAATTTTAGAACACAGCGGTTGTGTGGACAAAAAAAATAAATTTTTTTTCCGAGCGCTTGCTGGGTATGGCTATCTCATAATTCGCGTACTATGAAGTGATGGCATCACTTTCATTTTGTACACTCCCTCAGTCGTCCGATAGCTTCACCGACAAAGGAATAAGCCACGCCCCCAAAACTACGATTAATTTTCAAGGTATCCTCTTAACCTTAATGTCATGAATTCAATGATGCAATAATTGTACTATTGGGAAGTGTCGTTCTTATTTTATTATATTTAAGTCCAAATTTAAGCAAGGGAAGTGTTGTTCTTATTTTATTATATTTAAGCCCCTATTTAAGCGCAGTTTTTATTGATTCGAAAAATCAATAATATAACATCTGAACACGGTTAAATCGTATTCAGACCATACTTAGAATATACTGACGTATAGACATCCCGACAGCCCCAAAAACGCGTGACAAATTTTGATTTGTCATTGTGTGTATTAACTAGTTATGTATATTTTACCTATAAGGACTTTCGATAAATGATTTCAGTGACACCACAATAGTGCTATTGGAAGTGCTAAAGGAATGGTAAAAAAGTTCAAAATATTTGTTTAGTACACGAAACTGAATAACTTCAAAAATTAACTGATTTTTATTCCATGATAGTTCCAAAATAAATAATTATATTTTATTTATTTATTAAAAAAAACAAGTTATCAAGAATAAGCACATGCCTGTGTTTTGTTGGATTATAGTACAAAATGTATAAAATCTCAATAACCTCAGGAGAGGTGAGTCTACTCATAAATTAAAAAAAAATATTCCCCAAGAAACAGATTAGAAAGTTGTATTTTCGAGTATTTATGAGCCTTGAAGAAAAATGTTTACTGTCTTAGACATAGACATGTCAGATGTCATGTCGTCCACACATCCGCTCGCGCCGGCGTTTCGCGTGGATCTGATGCGACAGGGCACTGTCACCGCCTAGAATTTAAGAATACATTTCTTCACGCTTTATTACATCTAGAAAACGACTCAAAAGATCCCACTGCCAACAATTCCATATCAAGCATTGTAACTGAGAACTAAGATGGAATGCCTCCTAGCCTGTAATTATACTGGGTCTCTGTACCTTACAGAACGGAATCACTGCAAGGACCACTACTTATTGACAGAGATAAGTAAGAGAATGGTACCTGTCCAGACGAACTCGTAGACAAAAAAGGCCATACCATCTAGTAAAAAAACAAAAGTATATAATTCTAGTGTTGTGTTGACAACGCAACTGCATTTTGATTCGTAATCGAGGATTGTAGATGTATATGGGCCACAGCAACCACTTACCATCAGGTGGACCGTGTGCTCGTTTGTCATCCTTCTCCTTTAAAAAAATACAAACAAAAATATATATTTTTTACCTGTCTGGGTGTTTGAAACGGCAACCTTGTCTAGCGCAATGTAAGCCGTAACGACACGGCTTGCCGCTGGCGCCTCTTTTTCCTGCCTCGGGCTGCAAGCAATTTAATTTTAATTTCGCTACTAATCTTAAGAGAAGAAGTAATAAACATTTTTTGTAACTTGTTTTTAATAAGCCTATCTAAAAATATTGACAATCTTTAAAATTTACTCTTTTTATAGTTTATTAATTCCTCAAGTTTCATATAGATGTATTATTATGATTTGTGACTGCCTGGGTGGTCTAGTGGTTGTAAACGTGACTGCTGATCAAACGGTCCCGGGTTCGAATCCTAAAAAAATGTCAGTTATTCAGTTTTTTCGCCAAAAAACTCTCAGTAGCTGCCTCGGAAAGTCTGTTCGTTCTGCACCTGATCTCTCCGGTCGTATCGGTTTACCGTCCCATCGGACTAAGAGAGCGACGGAATAGAGAGTGCACCTGTGCTTGCGCATACACTTGGGCACTATAATCCTGTACTGCACCGATGGCTAGTCTCCGTTGAGGTAGGCCGCCGTGACCGAATTTTGGTCTGCAGGACATTATTATGATTTTTATAAAAATTTGTACTACCAGGTCTTTTGGGGTGCCTTTTGACCAGTAAGATTTTTCGTGTGCCGTCACTCCTCCGCAGTTGATAGCTAATATTGGTGGTAATCTGCAAAAAGTGATTTGATCTGAGTGACGTTGCAATAACAATAAGTGGAAACGATTAAACAACTGTTCTGATGATGATCTTCCCTTTGTTGTGGATGTTCTACTCATTAGTATCAAACAGTTTGCATCATCTTTTGTAATGCGCACAGAAAAGGAGTGAACTAATTAACCCGGGCGTCGGTCTTTCCGTCCGAATACAATGTGGGTGTCTTCAAATAGAATAAATAGGTAATTTTGTTACGCTAAGACAGTGCGATTTATCATCTTCGACTTTATCACCACTTACTCTACACGTGGGATTGTGGTCAACCGCTGGCTCATAATAAGTAAACAAATAATGATCTATCTTTCCAATGGTGTTCATCATCGGAACACTTGTTTAATGGTTTAAGAATTTAAAACTCTGAGTAGTTTTGTTTGCTTAGTCTCTTTGAAATACTATTGTCAATAGCTGTCTGCTGGTTTAAGATGTAACGCATCAAAATCATATTGTGAAGAAATTTGTTAAAACATACAAATTATAAATTCCCAATAGGAAATCACTAAAATGAGTACGATTTTCTAATGTGCAAATTTGGACATCATGATAATAATGATGATGACGATGATGATAATCAAGACGACCACGACGGAGATGACGACGACAATAATGATGATAATGTAAGAGCGCGGGAGTTACCGCACGGAGCAGACGCGCTGCGTCCACAACACATTATTTCACGATTTCGATTTTTTTTACATTGGCATCCGATTCTGATTTCTGAGCTATATTCATAATTTCAAGTCTCTAGCTTATCGTTAAGTTAGTTTAAAATCAATAACTAAATTCGACCCGTACAGACATACACGAAAGAGAGTTCATAGACACGTGGTAAAAAGAAGAAAAAATATGGCATTTAACGCAAGAAGCGGACGCGCTAAGCACATTTTTTAGCAGAAAGCCTTGCAGCCCATACAAAAAAAATTAAAATTATTGTGACATTTACTGCTGCTATAGGAATTACATCGCATATGGCTGCAATCTTTGTAGTATTTTGGCAGAAGGCCTATTAGCCAGTGTAACGATAAATTGAAAAAACAAAACAGGTGTGCAAATCACATGCGGTAGAAGTGAAACTTGCGAGTAAATTGCTTTGTAATAGCGCTATCTACATGAAGTAGGTAAACAAAAATTGATTGACTCTCAAGGTGGTACGTAAAATAGACTAGATGGCCTAAATACGACTAATTTAATATAAAATGGACAGTTATGAAGTCGTGGAATGTTGTAAATGGAGTGGATATGATAATTTTATTTATTTAATAAATTAGTTAATTTTTGTAACTGTTTATTTTAAAAGTTAAAATAAAAGTTATATTTACCATCTTTAAAGCCACACAAAGAGGAAACTGAGATAATAAGAAACACTGTATACTGTATGCTATGTCATTCTCTAGCTGGCTTAATATTATAGATGTATGTTTGTCTCTTTTAGTGTAGCTTTTTCGTTTCATCGAGTTTCAAATCACAACGAATCTAAAGTTTTCACTTAAGGCCGAATACGAAGAGAACTGGCGAAAATTAATGTATTTCTCTTGACTAGAACTTTGACCTGAAGTAATTCTAAGCTTTAAAACATTTTTGTAGGTTTGTTCGGGTCCTTCACAAGGTCACCGTCATTTTAAAATAAATGAATATACCAACAAATAAAAAAATGTTAAAAAATGATATATAAAATTATTGTTCTTCCAAAACTCTGTGAATTTTAATTTAGGAATAATTCTTTTACGTAAAAATGTTTGTATTGTGATTCCGAAGGTACCTGCTATCTTTATTTTCTATACAAAATATTATTTATTAACATAATTCGTTTTAATTAAAAACACCTAATAATAATATCGTATATTGCCAGATAAAAGTTTGCCGTAATAAATTACCAGGCGCTTCGACGTGTGACGTGAGGTAACAACAGTCGATGTGTCTGTAGCGAAAATCGTTAATTTAGTGTTTTATACGCGTTTAAGTGTCTATAAATGTTAATATGGGTAGGAAAAGAAATAAATGTTACCTAAGTGGTAAAACAAAGAGAGTTTATCGCATGAACGCTGCTCGAATGTTGTATTTTGAGGTTAATACTTATATTTTTGTAAGGTAATTTTTTGTTTGAGGCTGTCTAATAGGTTGCATTTTTACTCATTTACATTAGCCAAACTGATCATTTATACTTTTCTAGTTTCAAGTGAGAAACACTAAAAATGTAAAATATCAAGACCCAGTCGGAAAAGAATGTACAGAGTAGTGCAAGCACAGAGACCGCAAATAATGTCAGTCAATGTATTGTCCGAAAGCATGGGATAAGTACATAATTAAGAAAAACCGAAATACTTCGGATGTGAAGTGATTGACCAGTCGGAGTAGTCTTGTGAGAATTTACATACACAGTACCTATCCCCATATGGGGCAATCACCGACTTTTTAGTTTTTTTTCTTTATTATTTATGCAATTTGCATTACGGCATCTTGTAAGACTCACAAGAACAAACATTTTCAGTTATATGAGGTTCTTTACGTACGATGCACCAATAAAGAAAAAAATCGTTATCAATTCAATAACTTTTCGAACAATATTTTATAACGAATAAAGTACAGAATTTATAATCTATAGGAACTAATATTATAAATAAGAAAAATTTATTTAAGAAGTAAGCAATGCTCTCTGTGTTGTTAATTACTCTGCTTCTGAGCTAGTTCGTCAAATATAATCAAAGCCCGTACGGCTTTGATTATAGGTATTATACATGTTTATATAAACAAAGCGTAGGTACTGGCGGCGCGTGGTTCGCTGCGAAACGAGCAAGGTCATTCGCGTCGTATTCGGTCTTAAACAAGTGGTAAATTTAAAAATTTTGTACACCAACTACAATAAAAATAAAATGAGAATATTATCAACGTAGTCAAAGTCAATTAAATACACATCACTTAAGTAAAGATACCACAAAAACTACTGGTCAGATCTTGATAAAATTAATACGGGACCACATAAGCATCTGCTTTCAAATTAAAAAAAATAAAAGTTGTAATTAAACGCGATAAAATCCGTAAATAATAGTTTTATTCAATAAAAAATCATCAAAATCGGTTCACCTAGACAAAAAACCTCAGAACTTGTGTCATGTCATACCTGTATTACCTCAGAACTTGTGTCATGTCATACATGTATTACCTCAGAACTTGGCCTGTCTTACCTCAGAACTTGTGTCACGTCATACCTGTTTTACCTCAGAACTTGTCATGTCATACCTGTATTACCTCAGAACTTGTGTCATGTCATACCTGTATTACCTCAGAACTTGTGTCATGTCATACCTGTATTACCTCAGAACTTGTGTCATGTCATACCTGTATTACCTCAGAACTTGTGTTATGTCATACCTGTATTACCTCAGAACTTGTGTCATGTCATACCTGTATTACCTCAGAACTACATTAAAAAAAAACTTATCAAATTGTTTGTTTTTAAAATAGCTTAAGAAAAGGCATCAGTTACCGCAAGAAGCAGCCCAACTGCGTGTATTATGGCAAAGATTATTATTATTATTTATAAGGCAAAAAACGTTTAGAAACTGTTATTATTAAACTTGTAACGAATATTCGGCTATTATTCGGTAATCGGCCTATTTGACCACTTTTTTTCTATTCCGTGGAGTACCGAATATATAATATGTAGTATTCGGCCAAATACCGAATAGTTAAGTAAAATGTTTCGTTGTAGTCAGAAAATTGGTAAAATTAAAATATTGATTTATAATAATGTATTTTTTATGTAATCATTTAATTACATACATAGTTACATACTGAACTTCCGTACCTACTACTTACTGTACTACGTACTATACACTTACGTACTTGACCTACTGTAATTAAAATTTAGAAGTGGAAGATTGTGACGCACCATAGTAAAAAAAGACCATAACGACTTATTTTTCTGCACTTTCAGGCAGTAGTTTACTCCTTTTCTTCTCATAGACAATCTCTGCTTCAGAGAAAAGAAACTCTGAATAAACAGTACTTCTTTCCCGGCCGAATACTGTTGCCAAATATTCGGCTACTCGGCCTGGAAGCCCGCAGAATATACGGTATTAGGCGTGTGGCCGAATATACCATTCGTTGTAAGTTTAGTTATTATACTACTGTAAGAGTACATTATCTTATATAATATATGTTTTACGTGGTAGAGCCATGCTGCAGTTGTGTATTTCGTATGATGAGTGTAGAAAACCGGATACCCTTTTTACTGGAAACGAGGCATTCCATCTTAGTGCTCACGGGTAATCGAAGATAGATGTAGATGTCTATGGGCCGCAGCAAACACTTACTAACAGGATGGACTGTGTGCTCGTTTGTCACCCTATCCTATAAAAAAAAATTAAAAAATTATCGATAATAACCCCTGGGAATGAGGTGATTACTATCATGCTGTTTCTAAATGTTTACATCCTAATTGTATAAATTAAAAAACCCTCCAGATTTCTTGCCGGTTGTTTCCAGGACAGAGGTTTTTTCCGAACTAGTTGTGAAGCTTTTTTTATAGGATAGGGCGACAAAACGAGCAAACCAGTCCAGCTGATGGTAAGTAATTGCTGTGGTCCATAGACATCTACATCTATCCTCGATTACGAATCAAAATGCAGATGCGTTGTCATCCGTGAGGATTAAGATGGAATGCCTCGTTTCCAATAAAAATAGTCTCCAGTTCTCAACACTCACCATACGAAACTCAGCAGCATTAAGCTACTATTTTATTATGATATTCTGTGAGATCGAGGTCCTTCCCCGGTGGAGCCGAAGCGAGCAAGCACGAATGGGTATTTGTGCTATAACTATACTACTAATATAACTGCAGTATGGCTCTACCACCTATAAAATATATATATGACCTTAAATGACTTTCAATAAATATTCATGTCATTCAATCTATATTAAAATTTAAAAAAAAAATGAGCCGTGGTAGCTCAGATGGTTAACGCTCGCTGTAAATATAACAGAACGCGAGTAACCCGGGTTCGATCCCCGCCGGCACCAATGAAATTGTTAATTGCAATTTTAAGTGCTGATTTACCATGTGCTCGGCGGTGAAGGAAAACATCGTGAGGAAACCGGCATGTCTGAGGAATAAGAAAAAAAATATTTCGAAGACATGTGAAGTTCGCCAACACGCATTGGGGCAGCGCGGCGGACACTTCCTTGCCCTGAATAGGCTGTAACTTTACTACTATATTAAATAAAAAATTATTCCCCTGTAATGAAAGAATAAAAAAGTAAAAAAGTGTGGCGAGTTACCGCACGAGGCGGCCGCGCTGCGCGGTGGGCGTGAAGCGCGCGCACGCGTCGCACCAGGCGGGCGTGCTGCGGCGCGCGGCCAGCGACGCGCGCACCAGCTCCACGAACCCGCGCGCCTCGCCCGCGCCCCCGGCACCCCCCGCCCCGCCCCCTGCACCCCCTGCACCGCCAGGGTACTGCAAAGCGCACGCCAGCACTACAGACTCGCGCTCCTCCTGCGGCCACCACACCCGTTTGACATCAATACGTCTTTCAATTTGCTTCCATAGTCGGAGGCAATTCTTAAAACTGATGCTAACAAAATCGAGGGGATCCATGCAAAATTTAATTACATCACTCGATAGCGCGCGTAACGCCGCCATTATGAGATCGTTTCATTGCGTATACGTATTCACATAAAACATAAGACTGTGGCCACGATACAACCACACCCCGATTTTATTTTATTGGTTACAAGCCAGTACAGTCCACCTGATGGTAAGTGGATGCTGCGGCACATAAGCACCTAAATCTATTGTAGATTGAAAATCAAAATTCAGAAGCGTTGTCACCTCTGAGAACTGAGATGGAATGCCTCGTTTTCAGTAAAACTCCTGGGTCTCCCGTTCTCTGCACTCACCATGCCAAACACAGCAACATTGAGCTGCTATTTTAAGCTGGTATCCCAGTAAGAGCATGGTTCTTCACCAGTCAAGCGGACGCATTCGTGCTACGACTATAATATTATAGCAACAGCATGACTCGAATTTCGAGTCATTTGTGTAACGTACGTGGCAGGACCATATTGCAGCTATTTATATTATGGTTATAACACGAATGGAACGGCTAGACCGGTTAACAAAAACCAGTGTGAAATAGCAATTTAACGCCAAGACTTCTTTCTATGTATACTACGGTGATCACAAAAAATAAAAACGGTGTCACAGGCACCCACTTAATAGCGCCATAATACCCGTCTAGTTGTATAGGTACATAGAAGTCTTTGTTTTGATGCTGTTAACTTTCGTATGGTGAATGTAAAAAACCGGAGACACTTTTTAACGGAAACAAGACATTACATCGTAGTCTTTTGTATTCCAATTCTTAATCAAGAATTGATATAGATGTCAATGAGCCACTGCAACCACTTACCATCAGGTGGACTGCGTACTCACCATTATGTTATAAAAAAAATCGGCCAATTAGCTCGAAAAACTGACAGCCAATGGGGAAGAAAAATTCTCAAGGGCGTACCCCTACTAGATTGATGGACAACGAGATGCAGGAAATCAATGTATGCAAGTAACTCAGGCGCGTGTTGTGTGGCATTCCTTGGGGGAGGGGTTGGATTCAGCAGTTTACTTGTGAAGGCCGATAAATTAATAATGATGACGATGATGAATTGTCTGGCGCGTCCCACAAGACGTGAAACGCCAACGTGGTCAGCCCAGGGACAGGGACAGGGATAAAGACGAACTTGACTTATACGAGGTGTCGGAAACTCTAGTAAAATACTGAATACGATGGGGGACAGAGAAGAGAAGCCTTTTGCCTATCTGCAGTGAAACAGAATAGGTTAATAGAATAACAATAATATGGTCTAGACTCCATTGTTGACATTGTAAAGTTTCGGTTTAAAATCGAGACTGTTTCTTAATATCGACCTCAATTTCAAGCCACTAGGATACAGTAATAACAAGCGGAAGTTGGTATACTTCAAACAAATCTTTTTGAACCCTCTGAACGTAGGCCCAAGATAGAAACCGCGCATGGTACGTTTGCATCGCGCATGTGTTTTGTTTAGGAACATAGCTCGAGACGCTGCAAGACGCGAATATGCAGTACCCTCCCCAACCCACCCCTACATCTCTCTGACACACAATATACATTCAATGCTGGCACACACTGACGAGAGTTCAAAACGATTTGTGTGAATAATATGGTAGTTATGCACTTCAGCAGTGGGTTGTGCAACAATAATGTGAATCACTTGACCAGCGAAAGCCCACGCTCGCACAGAATACAATTTTTTTACGATACAATAAACTACGTAGCTATGAAGATATACTACTAAATAACAGCTATAGATACATTTATATAGTTATACAGGAAGATCTTGGTGGGAGACTGGTGCCTGAACTAGGTTACCCTGTGCTATGAAATCACCAGGTCCCTCAATTCAACCATCAAACACCATCGTCAAATATGAGTATGATGCTGTCGTTTTCGTATGGTAAGTAATGAGAACCGGAGACTATTTTTACTGGTTACAAGACATTCCATCTTAGTTATCCGGAGTGACATCAATGCTGTATTAAGCATCAAATGCAGAGCTGCATTTTGATTGCTTAATTGAGGATTGATATCTGTGTGCCACAAGATCCGCTTACGATCAGATAGACTGCGTGCTCGATTTGCACCATTACTTTTATGAAAATAATGTGAAAATCTTTCTAACGCATTTTCCGAATGACAATTACCGGCAGGGATGCTCACCAGACTTACACAGTGTGTTATTGGCATAATTGAATACATCACCCCATTTTGTCCCGTGGGTGTCGTAAGAAACGCCTGTGAAAAATACCAGAAAAATCTTATAGCTGCCGATAGATGGCGGTATAACATCTCATTTACGCTAGGCGTACAATATCCCCCCACACCGGCGACAGGCAGAAGCGTTCAAGGTGCGAGACGTTTTTTTTATAGATTACACCTGATGGTAAGTGGATGCTGTGGTCCATGGATATCCATATTTATCCTCAATTAAGAATCAAAATGCAAATATGTTGTCAACTCTGAGGACTAAGATGGAATGCCTCGATTCCAGTAAAAAGGGTCTCCGGTTCTCTACACTCACCATACAAAACAAAGCAGCATTAAGCTACTATTTTAAACCGGTATTCTGTGAGAGTGTGGTTCTTCCCCGGTCGAGCCGACCTATACGTGCTACAACTATGCTACTAATATAACTGAAGCATGACTCTACCACATATCAAATATCTAAAAATATCTAATATATATCCGAGCTTTTGTCGTAATAGATGCAAGCAGTGTGACAACATTTGATCTTCTATGACACATTTCATCCTACGAGATGACAAAGCGTCTACAGTATTTAATTACATTGGTTGTCGTCTAGTTGGGAGATAATTTACACATACATTAAGGTGACCCTGAAATAGTCATGGCTATAAAAACATATAAACAAAACTTGCCTCTTTATTGCATTTCAAACACCGATTTAGCTGATGACGGCCGATTGCAAACAGCTGAGATATTTCAGACTCCTCCCGTTCAGCATGTTTGCTCGAAAGCTCTTGATCATTATTTTGAACTTGTTCTGATGCACAGTTACCTTCAAATAGACAATGAATGTTAAATAATATCTAACGTGTATGTCTCTATGTATATTACTTACTACTACTACTTTATAGTACACCACAAAACACTACTGACTACGTATCTACATCCTAATTCTTAAACAATGGTAAATATAGGTGTCTATTTATCAAGGGACTGTATGTCCCCTTTGTACCAATAGTTGTATAAAGAAAATTACAATGCAACAAACCTTCCTCAGTAAGCTTCCAGCCGTCCTCTTCCTGTCTTTCATCTTTACTATACTCAGTTGTTGGCCCCATGAATTCTATTTCAGTATATTGATATTCCTCCCTGTATTGGCCATTGATTCCCATTTGCACTGTGTTTGCGTTGACTCGAACAACCTTAGGTGGGCTAGAGTTCTGCGACAGCATCGCCAGTTCCTTTTCTTTTTTTCTTGTCTCCAGTATTTCATAGTGGATCTGATGCAGGATGAAACGGTTCCAACTCTGAAATATTTCGTAAGATTGTTCAAATCCAAGCATTTATTTAAGTCCAGGTTGTGATTGTGTTTCTTATTTTTGTTTTGACGGTTAACTTTTTAAATTTACTTATGTTGATATTCCTAGTCAATTTTGTAACTGTGCTATATCAACATACTGATATAATAACGAGCGTAAAAAATTCCACATAGCTAGTGGAAGTAAGTAGCATGGGCTTCTGGGTCTCTGCCTGTATTGTTCTTAACATTGTAAGACTTAGTACACACTTATTTAGTGACTGTAATTTTATATAACTGGTTTATATAAAAGGTACATGAATAAATTTCTAGGATAGCAATTGAGAGCGCGCATAGTCTCGCTGCCTAGGGCATAACTCTCCTCTCGACTCGAAGCGATCCGCGGTTAGCCAAGAGCAAACCGGTTCCCCTGCTCCTCTCACCTCATGGGTCATTCGGTGATCTGAGCACTGACGTTATAGTGAGGTTTTGTCATTATTGCCATGCTTGGCAGGCGAATTGGCGGTCACACTTGACTGTTCCCATTTACAAGCTGGTATTTTACGCCTGGCGTAAAAGAAATGGTCAGATCATTTTAGATTTCACGTTTTCTAGGATGGTTCGATGACCGTAAGGTAAGGCTACGTAAGAGAATTCGCTTCATTTCGTTTTGTGGAATTTCGGAGAAGAAGACAATGGGTAATGCTAGAAAGATTGCTTTTGATAGATGACAGTATAACCTGATGGATGAGTTGAGAGAATCCCCCTAATAGATATTGTGACAGCCCAGTAAGAGATGAAGGAAGACGATTAATGCAGGTTTTTTTTATAGAATAAAGGTGACAAACGAGCACACAGTCCACCTGGTAGATGCTGTGGCCCGTAGACATCTACATTTATCCTCGATTAAGAATCAAAACGCAGATGCGTTGTCACCCCTGACGACTAAGATGGAATGCTTCGGTTTCAGTAAAAAAGTAGCAGTATTAAGTTGCTATTTTACGCTGATATTCTGTGAGAGCGTGGTCCTTCCCCAGTCGAGCCGACCCATTCGTGCTACAACCATAATATAAGCTGCAGCCTGGCTTAACCGCATATAAAAAAGTGTGTTCAGGTGGTGGCTCAGGGTCATGCTTTGTGGCATTTCTTGGACGAGGACTATGTTCAGCAGTGGGCTTGTAAAAGCTTGTAATGATGATGATGATGATGCTGAGGCAGCTACTACTACTCTCGATTAAGGATCGTAAAGTGGATTTGTCACCCGTGGGAAATACAATTACCAGTAAAAAGGGTCTCCGGTTCTCGTCACTTATCATAGTATGTGGTGGATGTAATGCTTTGGAGATAGGATCGAAAATAGATTAGAATGTTGTATCAGGGGGAAACATAGGGACAGTCAACCAACATACCAGAAAACTAATGATTTCTTTTCACACAAATATTTCAGCTGGGATTCGACACAGAACGCGTCGAAGAAGAGTCACTGAAACCCACAATCACGGCTGCCAGTGCCAAAAATAACAGTAAGCTAAGTTACTGAATCGATTCCGTCTACATTTACCTAGTGCCGAGATCACAGGTCACTGGATCCAGTTGCTGCCACTGTATAAACTTATATCACGTGATATAGCTACGCTGTAGCAATGTTGTAGTTGCAACGCAAATGGGTCGGCTCGACAGGAGAAGGACAACGCTCTTATTGAATACCAGCTTAAAATAGAAGTTTTGAAGCTGCTAAGTTTCGTATGGTGAGTGTAGAGAACTGGAGACTCTTTTTACTGGAAACGAGGCATTCTATCTTAGTCCTCAGGGATGACAACGCATCTACATGTTGATTGTTTATCGAGATTTGATGTAAATGTCCTTATATCCACTTACTATCAGCTGGACTGTGTGCTCGTTTGAAATTCTTATTCTATAAAAAAGGGTATCAATGCACACCTTGTACGTTTACCTGTATTAACGCTAGGAGATCAGGACGCGTGTCTGCTCGGTCGGTAAGTATGAGCCCCAAAGCGGCCGCTTCGGGCACCGTGCGGAATGCACGTAAGAAGTTATTCGCCTGGCACGCCGCGCCCCCAGATGTATCCAGCATCCGGAAAAGGAAGCCTGATGGGTAGAACAGAGTTATCGTTCGTCCCACTACTGGCCCCAGGCTTTTTGTAAACTACAACCCCTTTCTACCTTAGTCCGTTTGGATATTTACCGATTCTATACACCTCTTTTATACATGATATCTGATGCCAGGAACTATAAGCTGTGAGACATTCCATTTTAGTCGTTAAGCATGACAAGTCACCTTTATCCTTCATTATTTTAAACTTGGTAGCAGGTTTCCATTTCTTGTATTCTATTTTATTTAAAAAAAATTACACTCAGGCGTTTCTTCACATAAATCCGTAGACAAACAAAGTAACTGTCGACAAAGTAAATCCGCACGCAAAATGTATAGTGATTACTTTTAGATCAACTAAAGATTCTATAGATAGTCTATTCCCTTGATATACCTCGTTGCTGCGAAACTAGGGTTGTGATTGTGACTGGCGTAGTGATGGTATTTTATGTGGTGGTGTAATAGCTAGTAGTGCAGACTTATAGGAGGGAGGGTGATCTTCTTCAAAGTAGGTAACACACACAATTTTATCTCTTGCTTGGAAATCAGTACACTGTTATATATAGCACATCTACATTGTCACAAAGGCAGAGTACTATAACTAGCTAAAAGAGCGCATCGGCACGTTTTTTATACGCAAAAACAACGAAACGAGTCACGTGTGTTCATAATCATAGAATATCTACGACTGGCGAAAAATCCGTCGCATAAATCTAAAATAACTTAGTTTTAGGGTATGTTCCGAAACGTTTTCAGTATACTGCCGAATACAAATGACGTCATCAATTGTCACTATATTGTACTGACGTGCCGCCGCCATATTATGTCGGATATCCGGCCATAATGCAACAATTTTTAATTATGTGTGCGCTGAATAAAGCTTACCAGAATTGGTTTTTATTTATTCAAATACAAAAAATTATAGAATAATTGCTGGTATCTCCATTAGGAAGATATAATGAATTTTGGAGCACAAAATTACAAAATAATCGTCAACACTTCCAATATAGTTGCAAATGTTTGTCGTCATATACTATGTTCTGGAACGAATCACCGGTATAGCGTCGATTTATGACGTCACGTGCATTGGACAGTACACTGGGTTCTATTTTGCAACATACCCTTAGTGAGCGCCCCTGTCATTGTTCACTGGTTATTATCCACTTCTTGCATGTCGTCGGTCGTCGCTTCAAGTGGTGGGCCGCTCTACTATACACATGGCGACAATAGGCTACCATTTGACAGCCTTCTTCAGAAATTGGCGGTTGTGATTAAATGGTGTTTTAAGGACTTAAATGGTAGAAACTACCCTACTGCTTACTCACTGACCGATAAAAATTCCATTCGCGCAGTGCGTATCAAATAATTCGTAGCCGAAAACATATTAATAATAGGTAATCAGTCAACATAATGTACAGAGCTATAGAGCACTGCAATGGCTTTTGAGCTAGAACACTTTTGAGATAGAGCACTTTTGAAGCGACAGTAGCCTAATGGCAGGGCACGGACCGCGAACTCTAAAACGTCGTGGGTTCCAGTCCGCCATTCGACTACTGGCGTGAACCACTCGTAACACAAGCAATTTAAGTTTACCACGAGTGGTTAAGGGGAATATTATTAATGTTTATAGCATTGTTAATATTCTTTTCCTTTTTTAAAAAATGCCCATTTTCACTATTATCTCAGTTATGAGGCGCTCTGCACCGACCAACGGTATTTTATAGGTCTACATACATACACTTAACTCACCCAATTCACAACTTAGACAGAACTCTTTAGCGCAAGTGTGCGCCAAAAGCATTGCTTTAAGAGGCGATATGTAATACAGCACCTGCAATTAAAATCGTATATAATGAATGTTTAACAATTAAGCCAAAATATCAAGGTATACATTATATTCTTTTGTTTTACGGGCTTTTGGACTACCTACAAATACTGAAATTTTACCTGGAGCATAGGATTGCAATAAGAATTAGGTATAGTTGCTTCAAGTCCTGGTAGTTTGGTTTTATTATAAGTTTCTAATTCTTCATTTGGTCCATGCTTATTGTAGCGAAGATCCATCTAAAACATGATATATTAAGTTAAATAAACAAATGAGTGAATATATCGATATCATAGAACCATAAGGCGAGAAGGGAAATAGTGCCAAAGCAAATTTATGCTGCAGAGTGAGATGCAGAGTTGGCAAGGAACACCCTCGATGGAAGTTTATCGACCAAATAGGTGACATATTGTAGATGGGTCAAATTAAAAGTGCTCATAACCAATGAGCATGTATGCGGATCATCATATTGACAAGAATTAGTATGTGGATGTGAAAGAAGCTAGAGTGGTGATGTGTCACGACGGTGCCAAATGGAAATTTGTAGTGCAGCCCTCTTAGGGTTAACGGGCATGACAGTATATGCATGACAAGATAAGGTGGTTACTTTTCTAAAGAACAAGAGCAAGTGTACCTTTTTTGTATAGTATGTCCAGGTATTTATACAAAATATCGATGTATTATCATAAAGTACTGTTCCTTGTTTACTGTTAGGCTTATGTCCGATTTTGAACGAAGTTTTTTTTTTATAAAAAGAAAGTTAAATTACCTTTTGATAATGTTTGGGAATAGGCTGTGTATTGAAATTAGTTTCGTTTTGTTTAGCTGTGTTCAAATCTTCTAGATTATCTTGTAAATAAGGCATCTGAAAATAATAATAAACAAATATATAAAGAGAATTTACAGGAAAATTATCGTTTTCTACTGTTTATAAGACCTGATTTCTTTTGAACGTCCTCGGATTGGGCGCGTAACCAATAGGTCCTTGCATTTTCATTGATTTGAGCACTTCAGGGTCAACCGGTTTAGGTTTTCTGTAAAAAGACGTAAATAAAAATATATTTAATATCTACAAAGTAATAAACAGTATATAGAGTAAAAATCACAAATTTACAAATTGTATAATGTAACATTTTTTATAGGATAGGTTGACAAAGTAAACGAGCACACAGTCCACCTGATGGTAAGTGGTTGCTGCGGCCCATAGACATCTACATCTATCCTCGATTACGAATCAAAATGCAGATGCGTTGTCACCCGTGAGGACTATGATGGAATGCCTCTTTTCCAGTAAAATGGGTCTCCGGTTCTCAACACTCACCATACGAAATACAGCAGCATTAAGCTACTATTTCACGCTGGTATTCTGTGAGAGCGTGGTCCTTCCCCGGTCGAGCCGACCCATTCGTGCTACAACTATACATCTAATATAACTGCAGCATGGCTCTACCACGTATGTGGGGTAACATGTAAACATTCCTCCAATCAAATTTATAGTTTCCATTTTACTGGAAAAAAGTTCTTCACCCATAACAGCTTGTCAAAAGCAACTGTATTCTGCGAAAGTTTTGCTGCACTTGGCACGGTGGTCAGCAACAGCAGATTTTATTATTTTAAGTTGATATGAAGAAGTTGCTGGTGCCCATCTCCAGTTTCCACGACCTCAGTCGCCTCTTACACCACCCACAGGATGATATGGAGTAGTGGATCCTCACACACTGTCACTATTCAGACCACATGACATTTACACAACCTTTTTTGCACAAATCCCATTCAGGCTAGGAATCGAATAGGAATAAAAACATTTTCGAAAAACGATTTCTTCAATTTAGATTGTAAATAATTCTTATTAGTCATTTTTTACTTTGACCACTGATTCGAAATCCTGTGTCTTGGGAAGAATCAGCAAAACACCTATATTCATTACGCTTGGTTGGCATACAGAGCTAAAATTCTCGGCACGCTGTGATCTCTCCGCGAAGTTGCTCGCAACATCAAGGGGCTGTTGAACTTTTTCGGGCAAATTTCATAGCTCGAATAATTCATATTATTCCTGGTGACACGCAAAATACAACGCAAACAGTTCGTCGTAAACGAAATTAAACTACGCTAGATTTTCTTGTGAACGCAGAGGCCACTTCCTCACAAGTAGAGATGAAACGAGTAGTTATACACCGAGTAGGCTTTAAAAAATGCTGTTGTAGGCGGCGTGCGGTCATTTCCCTTACACCGAGTTAGGGATGAAACGATACGAGTAAATACAAGTACTTACTCGATACTTTACTTTCGATACCAAGTACTTTTAGTACTGATACTTCAAAACTGAGTACCAATTAGTATCGAAAGAAAATTACTTGTATCAGTCAGTACGAAATCAGTCGCACACCCGCGGACACTGTTGATGAGTGATTACTGATTGCTTGTCAAATAACTCACCAGTTATACGTGGTAGAGCCATGCTGCAGTTATATTAGTAGTATAGTTGTAGCACGAATGGGACGGCTCGACCGGGGAAGCACCACGCTTTCACAGAATACCAGCGTCAAATAGTAGCTTAATGCTGCTGTGTTTCGTATGGTGAGTGTAGAGAACCGGAAACCCTTTTTACTGAAAACGAGGCATTCCATCTTAGTCCTCACGGGTGACAACGCATCTGCATTTTGATTCGTAATCGAGGACATATGTAAATGTCTATGGGCCATAGCAACCACTTACCATCAAGTGAACTGTGTGCTCGTTTGTCACCCAATCCTATAAATTAAAAATTAAAAAATTCCTGTTCAAGAGATTGATTTAGTTATCTGGCGCGAAAATGACTGCTTATAGAAATCGTTTTATCGGAAAACATCAAGAAAAATTATCGATCTTAGGAAAAATCACATAAAAAAATTCATTCAAAACATGCTACTGAATAAGAAAAAAAGCTGCTGACGCATTAACCAGTTACCAACCTAATGATCCTTAGAATTCCGCTGCAGTAGAGTTAAATCATTACTTAAGCGTACCAAGAACCGCAAGAGATGCAAATCCATATAAATGATGGGTTTCTAATAAAGGCTATTACCTCATCTTGGGAAAAGTTGCGCCTCAATACTTATCAACACTCGCCAGTTCAGTTTACAGTGAACGGCTTTTTTCAGAGGCGGGCTTAGTATATGAAGAAAAAAAAAGAGCATACTAGACCCAAGTAGGGCCAAAAAACTAGTGTTTTTGCATCACAATCATACTCTATTAAATTTTAAATATTAGTAATAATAATTTTTATTACATTCCTATGTTCCTGATGTTTTAATGTGTCTAATTTCTTTTGCCTTTATTTTTCTCTGGAACATAATTAAGGCCGAGAACTCGGTACTCGGCCATTAATACTCGGTGTTCGGCCGAATCCTAAAAAAAAGGCCGAATCCGCCGAGTGCCGAATCCAAACCGAGTACTCGTCCTATGTCTACTCACAAGGACATTATGTTGCCGTTCAACAGTCTGTCATCATCTGTATCATCATCTTCTGTCACGGATTTATCAGGAGGTTGCCTGGAAATAATAGCATATTCCTTCAGTTCACCTCAATGAATAATGATAATTTCCTCCAGACCGTGATTCGGTCACGGCGGCCAGTCTCCACAGAAGACAGAATTATAGTACCTGTTTAGGCATAATTTTAACGATTTGCAACTTGCAAGGCGCTCGGCTCGAGCGGGGAACCGGTTTTTACTGCGGGGCCGGGGGGATTAGTTGTGCGGCCGACGGCCGCGCCTATGGGGCTAGAACATTCGATAGTACGCGACGACCGTGTCGATTAGAGGTCGCGAGTTTGATAAGAATTGCTACGTCGCATCGAGACAACGTAGCTTTTCTTTTGAGTTTTGAGTGACTATTTTAACTTCGATTGCTATTAATTTGCGTCGACGAGTGGCTTGTGTAGTTAATATCGTACGAAGGAATTTTGATTTGTCGTGTGGAACGCTAAACTTTGTGATCCGGTAGGAGATAGCGTTATCTTCGATTATTGTTTGTGCTAAGTGACCAATAGCGGTGAGCGCGTTGTGGAGCGTGGCAACGAATGTGGGTTTACTGAACGATTACATCGGTGACGTCAGGTTACATTATACACTTTCCTACACCACTCACACATATCATTTACTTGCCCCTGCCGGCGCCTTGTGGTCGATCCTACACCTGTAATTCGGTAAGTTTGTGTTTGCTTATACAGCCGTTATAAATTAATTATCCATAGGCCATTGGGCCCTCCCCTCGGTTGCTCTTCGAGTTGGATTACTGATGGTATTCCTGGCGACTTTTGTCGGGGCAACTGAGGGCCGTAACAGTACCCAAGTGTAAGCGCAAAAACTGGTGCACTCTCTATTCCCTCACTTCCATAGTCCGATAGGACGGTGAACCGACACGACCAGAGAGAGATGAGACGCAAGACCTACGGTTTTACGTGCTTTCCGATGCTCGGGGGTAAAACACCGTTACCTCCCTGTCTCCGGGCTGCTGCTGAGAATTTCTTGACAGAAAAACCCAATAACTGATTTCGGCCCAACCGGGAATCAAACCCGAGGTCATCAGCAACCGCGTTTACAGACACTATGTCAGGCAGTCAATGAATAATAGGTATACAGACTTACTTAACCTTTAACTGCCGTAGTGACAGACAGTGCAGTAGGCGTTGTCATGTCTTCTCCCGGTATTATTTTGACCACCCCACGTGCACTCCACCTTTACCCCTAGCAGTACCTTCCCTCAGCCCCTTGCACTAACCCGCAGTGTAGCGCAAGAGCCCGCAAGGTGCATACGTTTCCCGCCACGCTTCAGTTGACGTCGCACAGACGCAAGGTCGGTACTTACGTTATTTTCTCTTAGTGTTTGGAAGACGCCTGCAGTCTTCACGACGGTATATATGCTATAATGATTTTGTTATTTTTAGGTGTCGGAAACACGCAACCCATTCCTGTTAAAATTTTTGAAGATGCTGTTCATGACGTGATCGAAGGAGAAGAAACAGATTCAGATTATAGCCAGTTTGATGACAGCGAGGCCGACCCAAACTATATATTGGAAGAATATATATATCTTCGGCTTCTTTCAATATATACAATATATTGAAAGAGGGCGAAGAGACGGATTCGGAGCAGTCAGAGTTAGAAATTGAGGTTATCTCTGACATGAGCATTGACTGGCGGACTGGCAGATGCAAATTCGTAATTTACTTACCGAGTAAACCAGCTAAACATAGAATTAAACTTATTCTATTAGTTGATACTCGAACTTTTTACATCTATAACGCTTATATTTATTTTGGCAAGGGATCTGATGGAGTAAGGCTTTCAGAATCAGAGAAGAAATTGGTGGTGGTGGTGGTGGAACAAAAAAGAAATACCATCAGAGTTTCAAGCTTTTCTAAGCTTGAAACTCTGATGGTATTTCTTTTTTGTTCCAATCTGGCAACATTGGAGAAGTACTGTACGCATTTACAAAAAACTTAACAATTATTCCTTACGTTCCAAAACCGAACAAAGCTGTAATAGTTATTTCATCCATGCACCATAAGAGAGAGACAGATCCAGCAACAAAAAAAACCTATGATAATCATCGATTAGTATCAAACAAAAGGAGGCATGGATGAGGTAGACAAAAAATGTGCAAACTACTCATGCTCTCGTAGAAATAGACGTTGGCCGATGGCTATCTTTTACCGGTTGATTGACATGAGTGGTGTCAATGATTATATATTACATAATGATTCTGAGAACGCCAAAAAATTGAACCGGGGAGATTTCCTGCGCAGTTTAGTTCGTGAATTAGTACTACCTCAAATGAAGTTGAGAGTTTACAGCGAGAAAATTCCCAGAGAACTAAGATGCACTATTCAAAGAGTAATTGGAAAAGATGATATGTCCCCGACTCCCTCAACTTCAACACCATAAGCCCTTGAAGTTTGAAAAACATGTGCCACATGCCCAAGTAAGATGAGAAGGCGAACAAGATACTTTTTTTGTGTCTGTGCTAAACAATGTGGCTTAGTTGTTGCAGTAAGATTTGCAATGACTGCAAGTGAAAAATACCTAATATTACTTATTTGTTTTTTCTAAGATCCTTAATGTTATGGTAAAAAATAAATTTAGGGTTTTTTTCTAACAAAATAGAAAAGTATTGATAATAAACTAACTATACTAAGAAATATAAGATTTGTCTAAAACAAAAAGCTAGTTTATAGTACCTATGAAGAAATTGTTACAAAACCGGTTACTTTGACCCTTGTGAATTTTCTTAAAGTATGTTGAATGCTGCTAATTATGAATGAATCTCGTTTATTGGAGTTTTAGGTATTAGAAAAACAAAGTTAAGTAGAGTTGAATAAAAACTAAATTTACGGATTTTATCGCGTTTATTTCACTACTTTTACTTATTTTTAATTCCCGACGTTTCGGGTGCTTTACAGCAACCATGGTCACGGGGGGGATTGAGATGTTTGACGTCCCAATGTCATAGTTAGTCCGGCTACCTTCAGTTTTTGAATATTAATTTTTGGTCCGATTTACGCAAAACGAGCTTATAGTATCATGAAGTCTTGCAGTGGTATGCTTAGGTTTGGGTTTAATTTTGTTAATTATAGGATCCCAAGCAGGTGGCAGCACCCATCCATCTTCTCTATTGAAATTTGGATGTTTTTTTAATTTCAATAGCCTCGCGCATCATCCTTGGTAGGAATTGGTGTTCTTTTGCGAGAATTTGTGGTTTATCAAAACGAATGTAATGGTGGGGACGATCTTGAACATGTTCGCAGACTGCAGACTTCCCGGAGCGTCGGTGCTTCACGTCAGCTATATGTTCTTTAACGCGGGTTTTTATGGATCTTTTTGTTTGACCTATGTAAGAGAGACCACATTCACAATCTAACTTGTACACTCCTGCATCTTGTAGAGGGATATTACACTTGACGGATGGTAAAAATTGACTAATCTTCTTCGGCGGCTTGTAGATGATGAATGATGGCTTGTAGATGAGAAGATGTAGCCAACCTTGTCTGTGACTCCTCTAATTCTTTAGCTTTCTTAGATGTTTTAGTCATTCGAAATCCTAATAACACAATTGGTCACACTGTGTATAGAAAAAAGACCCATACCAACCGATATTTAAATGGTGAATATCACCATCATCCTTCACAGTTGGCTACCGTGGGTAAATCTTTGTTTCAGAGAGCACAAGGGATCTGTGACAGAAAACATCTGGCCGCCGAACTTCAGCACGTCAAGCAAGTATTGCAAGACAACAATCTTCGGGTCCCGCGCCTACGTCACAGTGACCGAGTGAAGCCGGCCACAGTCGAGCGTGTACCTGCTGTACTACCATATGTCAGAGGAGTCACAGACAAGGTTGGCTACATCTTGAAGCGAGCTTCTATTAAAACATACTACAAGCCGCCGAAGAAGATTAGTCAATTTTTACCATCCGTCAAGTGTAATATCACTCTACAAGATGCAGGAGTGTACAAGTTAGATTGTGAATGTGGTCTCTCTTACATAGGTCAAACAAAAAGATCCATAAAAACCCGCGTTAAAGAACATATAGCTGACGTGAAGCACCGACGCTCCGGGAAGTCTGCAGTCTGCGAACATGTTCAAGATCGTCCCCACCATTACATTCGTTTTGATAAACCACAAATTCTCGCAAAAGAACACCGATTCCTACCAAGGATGATGCGCGAGGCTATTGAAATTAAAAAACATCCAAATTTCAATAGAGAAGATGGATGGGTGCTGCCACCTACTTGGGATCCTATAATTAACAAAATTAAACCCAAACCTAAGCATACCACTGCAAGACTTCATGATACTATAAGCTCGTTTTGCGTAAATCGGACCAAAAATTAATATTCAAAAACTGAAGGTAGCCGGACTAACTATGACATTGGGACGTCAAACAAAGCACCCGAAACGTCGGGAATTAAAAATAAGTAAAAGTAGTGAAATAAACGCGATAAAATCCGTAAATTTAGTTTTTATTCAATATGTAGTGTTCGCGTAAATTTAAGAAATCATTAAGTAGAGTTATTAGTTTATACCAGGGATTTATTGTGATGTTATTATAGTGTCTATAAAAAATTAAAATATTGATCTCACTCAATGTAAGTTACATAAATAAGTTATAAATAAAACTTGTGTGCAATATTTTTATTTGTTTTATTTACAAACATAATTATCGATACATTTGTAGAATCAGGAAAAGGCTGGGACAAGATATTTTTTTTTAGAAATTCCCCTTCAAACATTACGTCTGTCAGACGCCACCACGGCATGTATGTGACACATTCATCACTACGGTAGTCAAAGGTTAATAAAATACAGACCTGTAATTTTTTCTAAAGAATTCCGGTGGCAATTCGTTGAACCACTTGTTTCCGGACGTTAAAGGCGGTAGTGGCACAGTAGAGAACTGAAATGCTGTGTCGTTGAAACTAACGAAAGGCAGTCCCACTACTTGATCTGCAAACTCCGTTGATCTGTAAATTTATTTTAATATATAAAATTGGAATTAACAATTTCATTTATATCGGCACCTGGGTCTAAGCTAACGTTGTGCTCAAACTCGCGTTGAGAGAGCATTATCATCATTAACAACAACAAAAGAATGTGAGTCTACTGCTTAGGGAAGATTCGCCTAAATCGCCATGATTGGCAGGCGAATTAGCGTTCGAAGTATAGTGTTGCTTCCACCGTCACTTGTCACCGTTCTGGGTATTATTATATGTTTGGGGTAAACGAGATTATTATACCGCCTTCTATAGGAAGCCCTTTACTGGCTTTTTCCATAATCGCTTCTTACGACACTGTGCTAGCGTGTATATACCGCCATCAATTAGATACCTTGAGATCTTTTTAGCATTTTCCTCACCCTTATATCAACCCCTAAGAAGAAATGGGGTGAAGTACCTCTTACGTAGAATGCGGCTTAATATAAATAAAATTTTTAAATTTTTATGTAATAAAATAATGGGAGGTACAAGGTAACAAGATCGGTAGCACAGTACCTAAGGGTCCGGTTGCAGTATGCAGGGCCGCGGGTTTAAATCTCGCACGGAAAAAGTTTTCAATTCGCCTACAAATAATTGCTCCGGATCTGGATGTTTGTAATAAACTTCTCCACTATACAAAAAATATACTAATTAGGTAACATTATTTTTAAATAAAAAATCCAAATTGCTTTTGTCAAACATTTCTGATTATCAATATAGTCAGCAGTGATTTTTAAATCAACAAGATATTAACGAAATGTTTCCCTTTCAATTTATGATCTGATGATTCTAAATCTCGCACGGAAAAACATTCGCCTAATAATTGCTCCGGATCTGGATGGTAATAAACTTCTCCACTATACAAAAAATATACTAATTAGGTAACAAAATAAAATCTAATTGCGTCAAAACATGATTATCAAATTAAGATTTTACTTTACAAGAGTACAAACCATCGGTGTATTAACTTAAAATAACTCTTAAAGTAGTTTAGTGCTTAATTAGTTAAACTAGTAAATTTCTACACATACAATATTAACACACACTTTGTATATAGTAAAATGGATTATCACTGAAAATAGAACACATCTTGAATTCTTGAAGGTTGTATCTTCAACAAGTGTTCTTTTTTTAAATCATTTTAGGACACCATTGGCAAAATACTCAGACGCTATCAATTTTAAGATGTTGTAACAGTTCATACAGATAAAGAATGGGTTTAGAAATAGCGGCTCATCAAGTCCAAACCGTCAACGTGCACAGTGCTAATAGTGAAAACCTACTAATGACAGTATATCGTTATAATATTTTATTATTCGGTTAGTTGGAAATTTTCTATTAATGGGAAAAGAATTCTATACGCAAATAGGTGTGTACATTAATTTAAAAACAACATTTATAACTAGCAACCCATTTTGGCTTCGTCTGGGTGGCATCTATTAATCTTCTATCTTAATAAAATGTCTAAATTTTTCAGATCACTCCTGATATTATACTCTCGATTTGTTTGTAAAGTTTTACTAAAATCGGTTCAGCCATTCCAAAGTATAACTCGTACAAACAGTCAAACGAAAATTTGAAAAATGGTTACTCAAGTCCCAATGACATGTAAATATTTATACAAAAATATTAACAAACAAAATCCACAATAATTATAACGAAAACTCTCAAAACGTCGCGTTAGCTTTTTAGTCAATGGTTTTTTGTTATCATTAATTTCTATGAAAGTTGGACTGAAATTATAGACCGTACGAAAAACGCATATCGTAACTGTGTCACAACGTAGTTCTTTCGCAGTCTTTACCGGTGGTTGTGAATATAGATAGCGATAGTGTGCGAGCGAGAGGTGAATAGAAGTAAAGTCATTTTCAATCCCATTTTTTAACCGCACGGGTAGTAAGTCATGGTGTCACAGTTAATTTGACTTTCAGTGATAGAGACAGCACGATAATTAACAGCATCTTGAAATTGAGCAGCATTTGAATATTTAAACACATATGAGTACATTAATGTTCGTGTTTTTAAAAAAAACACTGGAATTAGAGTATAATATTATATCTATTATGATTAGAGTTCATAAATCTTTCATGACCAATGCAGGCTATGTTTAGAACAGTCTGGAGTCATAGAATAAACCAGTCTTACCTTGAGAAGTTATTAAATACAGGTTCATGATTATGTTGAGGTGAAAACAAATGAAGGTGGCCAGCTTGGTCGCCAAATGCAAGTGCTTGGCTTGTTGCCGACACATCCATTACACTGCAGAGAGAGTTCTGCATGTCAACCTGTGATTAATTATTGTTTTCATTTTATAAAATTGGTAGCAAATCAAGTAATTTACAATATAATATGATATGTTCCGTGCTGAATGATGGCATAGTAAAGTTCTAAGATAATCTATTACAGCTTTTCTTCCATCCCATGTGTGTCCAATGAGAAACTATGAGAAAAACGGGAAAGACCCCATGACCTCCGCGATAGATGGCGATAATCACGTAAATATCAAAAGAAAATACCCAAACAGCAAAGGGATGTTATAGATGAGAATCATCTGGTACTTTAATTGCCAATTTTCACACCGAGCAACTATAGCAATTTTTCGCTACTATGTGTATCTTTTTTCATATTTTGTACTTTCACGTGTGAATATAGAATTATTTATCTATCTATCTACACGCACAGATGCTCTCACATTATTTTTTGCGTACAGATTAGAAATAAAACACGTCTTTTATAACACTATTATGTTTTAGTTTAGTTTGCACTATTATGTTTATTAATTTGTATTAGCAGTTACTTTAAAACCGATTCTGTAAAATTTTATTAAACATGAAACATACTTATGTTACTGATTATTTGTTTTATGTAATGTATTGACTTATGATACCGAAATTGTTTTCGAATTCGGTTCGGTTTTTGATTCAATAAGCCGAATTCGGTTTTTTATTTAGAATATTTAAAAGCTTGCTACTGAACCAACTCGGATCGAGAAAAAAGTTCAAGTTACGATCAATCCGTCATCAGCGTCGTTAGGCACTTTTAGATATTTTATTTATTTATTCTTTATTGCATTACTTAAAACAAAAGAATACAAAGGACGGACTTATGCCTTGAATGAAATTTCAATTTGAACCGCCATTCGATTGTACGCTCTGTTTCGAGAGTTCGAAATTTATATGAGTTTGATTAAAATTTGATCGATTTTCTGGATTTGAATAGAGTATAAACTTATTCAGTGAAAATTCAGAATTCGATTCTCGCGGGCGTAGGCAAGCAAATCTAATTTTAAATGTTTAACATTTTGAATTAAACCAAAACTTTAAAATCTATGGTAACAATATTTTGAAAACATTCACCTGAAACACAGACTGCTTATCCACATCATCCGGTATATTGACGTGCAGTAACGCGACGTGACCATCCCCCGATACGGCGACCGCTCGACCAGAGAACGCGGGCAAGAAGTGCAACAAAAGAGGGGGAGCAGCTGTATGGAGTGACCAAGCACCTTCCGCATTAGACCTGCCGCGGAGACAGCGCACGTCCCACACTACTACGTAGGGCTCCGCCACCGCTACCCCGCCGACGCTAAAACAACACAAACTTTTATCTACTTTCAATTTTTATTGTTTAATACCCACCTAGGAAGTATAGATTTAAACAACTCAAATTGCAATGACAATCTTTTAAGATTTCAGTGTATTGTTACTCCCTAAATTGAAATAAATTCTGTAACAGGGTGAATCTCTCAAACAGTTTAAAGAATTTGCAATAAATGCAATGCTAAGCAGGCAAATTGATGTTTGCAGTCTCTGTCTCTGGTAACGCAATCCAGGTCTAATCCAACAATATGGGTGATCCACAATTTTTCAGAAATTACAAGATTTTTTCATTCCCATTCTATTTTTACATCACTACACAACATGACAAGAATTCTCTTACGCGGCAAAATTATGATGAATTAGGATTTTTTTTTCATATTTATTAAGTATTTTTTACAGAAGGGTGACAAAGTAACAAATGATTACACACTCTACCTGATGGTGAATAAACGCTAACTCCTATCATTTTTTTTATTCATTTATCCTGGATAAAAGATCAAAACGCATTGTCAGCCCTGACAATTAAGATAGAATGACCATGCTTGCACAGATGTACAATAGTTGCAGCATGAATGGGTTGGTATGAAACAACTGATGGTATCTAGCAAGCAACAAAATGAAGCGACCGTTTCTCAGAAACCAAAATATCTTGGTATTATCCTTCTACTTTTAGTACAGTCACATGACAAGAGTATTGCATTCCCTTATGCCACAACCACACAATGACTGCCTTCTATTTAGTATTCTAATTTCTATATACCACCAAAACTGGTAGTCATTCTTAAGTTATTACTACACTGTACCATTACATCCTATTAAAGACCATTGCTGAATGTAGGCCCCACCAATAGTTTGTCTTATATGGGGGATATTTGCCATAGTAGCCAAGCTTGGCGAGTGGGTTGGCAAACGCAGTTTTTAATTTTTAGTTGTTATAAGGAAGACACTGCTGCCCATCTCCTGATATGTTTCCATCTGTCGTCTTTTACGACACGCACGGGATGATATGAGGTAGTGGAAATTCTTACACCGCGATTACATGGTAAAAAATATTTAAGGTTTACTTTTGGTGTACTTACGACTGAGTGAAGCCACATGATATAAGTAAATCACCCTGCATGTCCAGATCTGACAAACAAGCTGTGTGGGCCCTGAATGTGTGTTCAGCTGCATTTGGAGTTCGAATATCGCGAAGCGCTACTTTACCGTTAGCACTGCCACAAGCCACTAGCGCTCCTCCTCCGCTACGAAGCACCACACAACCATCTTCTTTAATAGGCTAGTAAATAAAATTATATCTATATAATTATTTATTGTATATATATTTATTTGTATAGATTATTTCATGTACTGTATTATACATTACATGAAATAATCTATACAAATAAATAGAATTAAGTGCCTGTTTGTAATGTCAAAATAACAGTTCTTTACTAAATGCATATAAAAGTATAAACAGTAGAATTATAACAAAAAACAATTTTAAAAATGTCTGTCTGTCCGTCTGTTTGTTCAGCTATTCTCCGAAACCGTTGGACCGATTTCGACAGAACTTTCATTGGCTGATATTATAAGGAGTAACTTAGACTACAAACGAGCATACGGTTCACCTGATGTTAAGTGACTACTGCCGACCATGAACTGCAACGCCAGGGGAATTGCATGCAACTTGTGTCTCCTGGGGATTGAATTGGACTAGATTTAGTCGCCCTCAATCCGAGACTTTGTTCAACAATGTCTCGACTACAGACACAAGTTTATTTCGGTACTCGGCGACGTTTTGCCGGGAAATATTGGCACGGGCAAAGCATCACCAGTGCTGTTGTCTGCATAGCATCGGTTTGCAACATATCTTTGATATGCAGAAGAAACAGTGTTGGCACATAGCCTTGTGAAACATCAGCGTTAATAGGTTTGCAATCGGAGAATACACCATCTACCACGACCTTGATGCTCTGATCAGACAGAAAACTGGTGATCCAAGTGCACAATTTCTCAGGAAGCCCATCGGAAGGAAACTTAGAGAGAGGTACTTTATGCCAAACCCCATCGAAGGCCTTTGCTATGTCCAAACTAACGGCCAAAGTCTCCCTTTTGGACTCTATCACCTGCGCCCATCAGTGTATTAGATAAACAAGAAGATCACCAGCTGAGAGGCTCCGACGGATTGCTAGTCACTAATCAGCTGGTGCTTTTCAAAGTACCCCATGAGCTGTTTGTTAATAATGGAGTCCACATTATTTTGGAGAACTAGGAAGTGATGATATAGCAAGGGACCTGCAACTATTTTAACGAGGTCGATAAGTCAGTCTGTTTCGGCATTACTGCTATGGAACCTATAGCGGCACCCATAGACACACGAATGGTCGTCGCTGTCTACGCGTAACCAAAGGATGGATAGGTCTGAACCTTCAAGACTGCCAAAAAGTCGAGGACAGCAGTCCTCTCCGACGTATACGCAAACCCCAGCCGAGGCACAAAGGAGTGTTCCAATTTGTAGCCCGGTTAGGAGAGATATGAAGCACACCATGCTGCAGCTATGCTTATGGTTATAGTGCAAATGGGTCGGCTCGACTGGAAAAAGACTACACTCTCACAGAATGCCGGCATAAAATAGCAGCTTAATGCTGCTGTGTTTTGTATGGTGATTTTAGAAAACCAGAGAGCAGTTTCACTAGAATCGAGGCATTTCATCTTAGTTCTCAGGAGTGACCATGCATCTGCATGTTGATTCTTAAATGAGATTAAATGTAGATGTCTATGGGCCACAGCATCCAATTACCATCAGGTGGACAGTGAGTTTATTTATCACTATTATTCTATAAAAAAAAGAGGACACCTGCATCAGTCAGAAAAAGCAAGGATGACTTCGCCGTCTCCAGATAGTAGTGGAGCATTTAGGTTGGAATAAAGCCCCCCTGATATTGCAAAAATCCACGCATACCATGGCAGGGGTTGTCTTAGTATTTTTGCTCAGTTTGCTACGAGCAGTTTTTGTTTTGAGAAAATCTCCCACCCTACAGAATATGTGGGGCAGCCTGAGTACCCACAAAGTAGAGTAGATTGGCTGTGGATGCTCAGCAAGAGATTTTTCATTATCAGAGAGAGGGGTAGTCTCTTATTTAATTCCGCTATCATGTTGATGTGGGGGAGAGGTTGAATTGGACCTCTGGCCACTTGCACTCACCTGACAAAACACAGAAGCAGAGCTTCTACTTGACGCTGGTATTCTGTGAGGTTGTGGTACCACCCTGGTTTGAGCCAGCCCATATGTGCAACAGCAAAAGCAGCTATTACTCTACCACTTATTTAAAATTATATACTTATACTGGATAATCTTTTTTAATGATACATTGATACATCAATTTCATATTATGTTAATGTAAAAAAATTGTAAAATATTAGTGCCATAAGCTTCTACTCCATTCACCTGTTTTTTTCCAGATGGTAAAAAATTCATCAAGTTTATATTGAAGATATGAAAAATGAACTAAAACCTCTTACTACATATTAAATTTTCTACTTAATGGTTTGTAGTAATGGGACAGCAAAGCTATAATTTTATAAATACAGTTCAAACTTACTATTACAGTTTCTGACATTTTGTTTATATCAAGCTCCAATAATTTACTTTGATGTCCTCCCATCATTATCTTTGTTGGACTCACTTGAAATAGACACTGCATGTCTATCATGCTCTCAGATCTGTAATTATAGTTATTTTTATTTTTCATTACCTAGAATACAATCAATAAAACTGAAATATACATACATATTTTTTGGCTTTTCGTATTTTTTTTATTTTTTAAATTGTACAAAATATAGAAGTACTTCATTAAAATAATGTTATTAATATATTTAGACAATTAAATTTTGAAAGTATAGTTGACGATTTTTGTACCTGTATGTGTGCTTAGGAATTCCTCTACGTATTTGATGGCGTAAGGTTGTCTTTGTCAATGCATAGATCCCCTGTTCAACTGATAATATATCTCTGACTTCCTCAGATTCATGTATTTGAAAGGAAGTGTATTTCTGCATTCCAGGGCCATAATATGATGTTACATGGCCCTTGAGATAAAAGCAAGCCATTAATTTACTTTAAAAAAATTTATTGTATTTTGTATATTAACATACCTACTTTTAGACTGAATGATGCATGCATTACATTCAGATCAAATACAAGATTTACTTGTTTTCACTTACACCTTGATTCCCCATCCATATCAATTCTTCATATTTGTCAAAGACCACAGCTGATACTCCATACCTATCTCCACCATCCACCAGGACACTACTTCTTACTTCATATTCTGCCTCTTGTGAGGGTATTAAGTACTGCTGTGTATATTCTGCACCATAGTGATCTAGAACATATTTATTTTATTTTGGGTATGTTCCGAATACTGATGAGACGTATTTACGCTACCAGGTTTTAAAACCAGGTTTTCGCTTCAAAGTACGGTGCCCTGGTACGGGCAAAAAATACTTGCAAGTATGAAAGTATGTGTTGTAAGTCAGATGCTTGAATAACTTGAACACAACACATGAAAATACTTGCATAGGAAAATGATCCATATCTTAATAGGAATAAGAAACTCAATCGTATTTGTGAATAAAAAATACTTTGAACTTCAAAGTATTTTTTTATTTATACGACTTTGCTCCGTATTCATAATAGGATAACATGCAATACGGGTCGAATTCCTATGCAAGTATTTTCAAATTTTGACACTGCGGCTGGACACGTTGCTCGCGTCAACAAATACTTTTAAGTATTTTTAGAACCTGGTTTTCGACCCTGGTATTTTTCCATACTCATACTTAAAAGTCCTGGTATTAAATTTTGCAAGTATGTCTCATCTCTAGTTCCGAAATACAACTCAGTGTACTGTCCAATGCAAATGACGTCATGAATCTATGCTATACTGGTGATTCGTTCCAAAACATTGGACAGTATATGACGTCATACTTTTGCGCCATTTGGAAAAGTATTGGCTATTATTTTGTCATTTTGTGCTCCAAAAATCATTATATCCTCCTAATGGATATACCAGCAATCATTCTATACTTTTTGTATTTGAATATATAGAAACAAATTCTGGCATACTTCATTCAGTGCACACATAATTAAAAACTGTTTTATTATGGCCGGATATCCGACAATATGGCGGCGGCACGCCAGTACAATAAAGTGTCAATTGATGACGTGATTTGCATTATCTTCAGGCATTTCAGTGTTTGATACTATATTTGTTTTCTAAACTATTTTTAAAATATAGCATTGACAAAATTTTAAAGGGTCCGAAGGTCCAAGAGTGTAATTTTAACGTCGTTGGGTTGTACTAAAACGACATGAAATTAAAAATGCATTATAATAAGACTGCACTTGTGTATACTACAAATCACAATAAAAATACTAACCAGTCAAAAGATGATCGGTAGGTATACAAAGATCTGAATAATGATATTCCATATTTCAAAGACTTTTTCGTAATTGATTTAGTATAGTTTTATGTGACAGTAATAATAAATTAGCCGTAGAACATTTATTTCGTTTTTACAGCATTTTCTAATAATCTTTTTGAGATTTTTACTTAGCTGTCAGACGTGTCCGTGTCAGGCTGACACTGTCAGCACCAAGCGTTGCCAACACTACTCTGTCTAATTTCCCAATTTAGGAACAAAAAATCAACAGATTTCCCACAAATTCCCTCAATTTTATTTTAAGAAATATAACAAGTTTCAAATAATTTTTTTTGGAGTTTACTCCTTATGAATCGATGGCTAATATTTCCAATATGGACCATTGATTTCAAAGCCCATATTTTTTTGTAGGTAGTACTCACTAAAAGAAAGCGTTTTGCAAAGATTTAGGTTGCTGAAACTTACTAGACATGAGATATATTTTTTTAAACTTTTCATATAAATTTGCAAGTAACACGCAATTACAAAATAAATTTGACAATTGATTGACGTCAAACGTCAATTCGTGTAGGTTCCGAAAATTTTGAAAGTATCGATACCTTTTCGATACCAAGTATCGCATCAAAAGTATCAATAATACTTGGTATCGAGTACATTTCGTTAATTTTGGAGACGAAAAATTATGACAAATCATTTAGATGCATATGAAGAGCTGATAAGTGCAATTAAATATGTTTATAAAATAGAATAAAGTTTACTCTATTTTAGTTACAGCTTAGTACTTGTATTTCATTGTTTGCAAATTGTTTGTTTTTCTTAATTAGTACAGCTTTTGTACTTCTATTTTATTGTTTGTAACTTTCTGCATTATCTAATTCTTACTACAATAAAGTTTTCACTTACTTATTTAATATACAAAAAGTACCCAAAACCGAATCAGAGAAACCCACTATCCACGTGGTCTTGTCTGCCCTACCCCTAGAGTGTATATAAGAGCCCCGAGGCACGGAGGGAGAGCAGTGCCTGCCTGCCAGGTGCCTGTGCTCCCCTACGCTAAGGCGGAGGGACTGCTCATCCCGCAGCTGCCACAGAGCGCCGGAACACGCCTTCCCAGCTTCTACCCCCCCCCCACCCCACTTCCCCGCTACTACCCCACCACACCACTTCCGCGCTACTAACCAACCCACCACCATCCTCCCATAAGCCCCACCCTTTTCTTCATTTAATCTAGTTCATTTTACCCCTTCTCCCCCTTCCCTATCCCCCCTCCATTTCATCAGACATACGGAAACGAGAATAATAATAAATAATATAATGAATTTCAACCATGAATATATCCAAAACCATGGGGTTCTGCAGGGTGGGGATGGCACAGGGGGGTAGCCATCCCTCCTCCCCCTCCCACCCCTAAAACCTCATATATCGATGGTCAACATTGGAAAGTTAAAGTCACCAAAATTAACGAAATGTACTCGATACCAAGTAGTATTGATACTTTTGATGCGATACTTGGTATCGAGTAGGTATCGATACTTTCAAAATTTTCGGAACCCTACACTAATTGAAACGTGTTTAACATCAATTATTTGTCTATTTAAATAACTTTTAGTGTCAGTTTTTATTTACTATAGTTTCTTTTATATATATATATATATATATATATATATATATATATATATATATATATATATATATATATATATATATATATATTGTGAAATTAGTATTAATTGTAAATATTATAATTTAATTTCATTAATTGGAAAAAATGTTGGCCATTATTTGTCAAATTAATTTTGTAAATGCGTGTTATTTGCCAATTTGTATGAAAAGTTAAAAAAAAATATATCTCATGAACCGCAACCTAAAACTTTGCAAAACGCTTTCTTTTAGCGAGTACTATCTAAAAAAAAATATCGGCATTTAAATCGATGGTCCATATTAGAAATTTTAACCGAATCAATTTTCATCTTAGATTTTTATACCTGGGTACCTATATTAAAAGTATCGGGAATGGAATATTTCCACTGTTCCTGTCATTTTAAAATCTTTTTAATTGAAAACTCCTTGGTTTTAAAAATCGAATACCATTTATTTATTTAAAAAAAGATTCTCGGTCTTGTCACAAGGTTTTGTCAAACTTGTTTAGTCGTTGAGAAAATGGAATTGACTCGAGAAAATTCAAGAGCGATGGTTTATTATGACTTACGAAGTGGTTTAACACAAAAACAGTGTGTTGACCGGATGATTTCTGCATTTGGTGACCTAAAACCACAATTTATCGCTGATTTGCTGAATTTCAACGTGGACGTGTCAAACTCAGTGATGATCCCCGTCAAGGTCGTCCAAAAACTGCAGTCACCCAAGAAAACGTTGATACTGTGCGTAAGCTGATTGAGGAAGATCGACATGTGGCATACCGCGAAATTCAGGCAACTTTAGACATTGGCATGAGTCAAGTACAAATATTCTTGCATGAACAATTAGGTGTAAAAAAGTTGTTTTCCCGCTGGATACCGCATTCGCTCTGTGAAGAGCAAAAAGCAGCTCGCGTTACTTGGTGCGTCAGAACTCTCGAAAGATTGCACGCAAAATCCTCAAATGCTGTATACAACATCGTATTAGGTGACGAATCCTGGATATACGCGTACGAACCCGAAATAAAAAACCAGTCACGAGTTTGGGTGTTCGAAAATGAGTTAAAGCCAACAAAAATTGTTCCTTCACGGAGTGTTGCAAAAAATGGTGGCCACGTTTGTCTCCAAAACCGGCCATGTTACGACTATTTCTCTTGAGGCACAAAGAACGGTTAATGCAGAATGGTATACTAGCATTTGTTTGCCACAGGTCGTTTCTGAACTCCGTAAAGAGAACTGCAACCGCCACATCATCCTCCATCACGACAATGTGAGTTCTCACACCGCACACAGAACAAAAGACTTTATAGAGCAAGAAAACATAGAATTATTAGACCATCCGCCGTACAGCCCCGACCTAAGCCCTAATGATTTCTATACTTTCCCTAAAATAAAGAATAAATTGCGTGGACAGAGATTTTCATCACCTGAAGAAGCTGTGGACGCCTACAAAACGGCAATTTTGGAGACTCCAATTTCCGAATGGAATGATTGCTTCAATGATTGGTTCCATCGTATGAAAAAATGTGTCAAATTTCGCGGAGAATACGTTATGCCATTTTCCATTCCGTAGACACCTCTATTGATGTGCCATTAGCGAAATAAAAAACATTGTCGATAAATTCATTTAGTCTATGACTTAGTAACATTAAAGATTTTTATTAATCAGGTTACTAATACTTATTTATATCAACGAAAGTTTATGGAAGCTTTATCTGACATCTCACAACAAAAACGTAGTTGAACAATGCGGAATTTCATACTATAGTTGTATAAGTAAATTAAAATATATCGTGAAAAGTTCACTATGAAATCTACTTAAATTCAGCTGGTATATTTCGGCCAAATTATCCATAGACTTAGTATGGGTTTCACAAAGTATAACAACTGTTTTTATTTAATCGACAGTGGGTTTGTGACACGGAATGTACGTAGAGGGAATTACTAAGATAGTTTTTTTTACAGAATAAGGGTGCCAAACGAGCACACAGCCCTCCTGATTGTAAGTAGATGCTGTGAACCATAGACATTACATTTATCCTCAATTAAGAATCAAAATGCAGATGCGTTGTCAACCCTGATGGCTAATATGGAACGCCGCTACACGGCATTATCAAGATACTGCCTTAACTTCATGATTCAGAAGTATTTTCATCCAAGCAGATAAAGCTTTGTTGGTGTCGATGTCGATGGTTTTATTTTCTGAAGCAAGTGTTAAATCTAAAACATAAACACTCACGCCTGTCACCCAGAGGGGTAGGCAGAGACTACAGACTTCCATTTGGCACGATCCTGACACACCTCTCTCGCCTCCTTCACATCCATACACCTCCGCATACATGCTCGTCGGTTAAGGGTACTCCTAATTTGGCCCGTTTTCAATAAATCGCCAATTTGGTCGATAAATTTTCGCCTAGGACGTCCCTTTCCGACTCTGCCATTCACTTCTGCAACATAAATTTTCTTTGTCACTCTTTCCTCATTCATTCTTTCCACATGACCAAACCACCGAAGCATTCCTTTCTTAATCCTGGTCACAACATCATCTTGCAAACCACACTCTTCTCTTATTACACAATTTCTTACCCTGTCATTAAGATTCAGCCCTAACATACTCCTTAACGATCGCATTTCTACTGCGTTCATTCTACTCTCGTGCTTCTTCTGCCACACCCAACTTTCACTACCATATGTTAAAGTAGGGACCAACACAGCATTGTGAATTGCCATACGTGCCTTTTTCGACACATTTTGACTCTTCACAATAGAGTGCAGGGCCCCATTTACTCTATTTCCCGCATTCACTCGTCGTTCTATATCCTTATCATATCTCCCATCCCTGCTAAATACGCAGCCCAAATATACAAACTCGTCTACTTGCTCGATCAACTCCCCCTTCTATTCTTATTTCACAAATCGTTTTACTTTCTTCTCTTTCAAAAACCATAACCTTCGTCTTACTTGCGTTCACTTTCATACCCCTTTCTTTTAATGATCTGTTCATTAATGTAACCATCATTTGCAACTCGGCCGCCGACGACGCAAGTATAACTTGATCATCGGCGTACAAAAGGCATTTGACGGTTAACTCACCCATTCTTAATCCGCATTCTTCAACTTTCAAATTTTGCAAACAACTGTCCATAAATAGGTTGAACAGCCACGGGGAAGCTACACAGCCCTGTCTGACACCTTTATGGATGTCAAACCAGTCCGAGTAGACCCCGTTGATCCTAACACAAGCACTAGAGTCCCTATAAAGGGACTCCAATGCCCGTATCAAGCCAGCGCTCAACCCAAATGAGTTCAGTGTTTGCCATAGCACATCCCTATTCACTCTGTCATAGGCCTTTTCCAAGTCCATGAACGCACAAAAAACCTTTTGGTTTTTGGCCAAAAACTTCTCCGCGAT